ATAACATTCCACCGCACGATCGAACTCTAAAAAATTTAATAGTTGATAAACATGTTAGTTGTCTTACAAACAAGACGAGGGCAAGATAGTTGACATCTAAGAGAAGTAAAATATAAATTACGAAGATTTTTCTGTTAGAAGTATAATCTGATAAGAAATCTCATTCTATTTAATAATATGTATTGATTACTATTTCATTAAAATAATACTAATTCTATACATTTTATACATTTAAAATTTAATTATATGTATTATACATTTATACCTAATAGATTCTTCAAGCATAGTAATATTATGTGATTTGTTATAATATGTAGTAAAAAGATAAGATATACTCACGTTCTTTTTTTGTTAACGTTGCATCTATATTTCTAACTACACCGAACATAAAACATAAACACAACAGATTAATATGTTTAACCATCTTGTTAGGTACCTACAAAAAATTAGTAATAATGATTTCGTTTAGAAGTAAGCAGTAAGAATGATATTAAAAAAATGTTAAACAACGGTATTATTTTATTAGTCTATTCTAAAATACGAAACGAAATGTGATCTGGTGCAACTGGCTAAACCATTTGGGAAAATAGTATAGTGTGTAAATAACATTTTGTTGTCTACATGAAACCAAAAAGCTTATGTATCGAACGAAACAATAAGGTTTTACTAATACCTAAGGTATTATACTAAGATAACCATTTTTTAATAGTGCATACAATATTTTATTATTGTTATATTTATGATATTTTTTTGTCTTTTTTGTCTTTATAGTATGTTAAATATTAACATCAAGCCTAAAGAAAAAGACAACCGACCTTTAATTGCATTTTTTCTTTTACATCTTCATAATTAACTACTATTTTATATTATTTTAAGACATTTATGATATGGTTTCAAAAAAAATGTGGTGTATTTTAAAGAACAAAAAATCATTGAGCCACAAAGCCGTATCACATCATCCAACAGACATAGAAATTAGAATATATGAATAATTATTGTTATATTTTCTGAATATACCTTTTTATAACCATATAAGGTCCGAATTTCTACAAAATTCTTCAAAATATCAAAAACTTTCAATTTTTTTATCGTTATAAATTTGTAATTTTTCATTGCTATGAATATTAAAATATTAAAACAGGGGTTTTAACTAGGTCACACCACATTCTGTTAATAAGGTACATTATTATTAGGTACTATGATTTTGTTTGTATCACCTCAGTAAATATTTAGCATGCAATTAGGTTCATGCAAATGAGAGGCTCAAAGTATTTTGAACAGATGTACAATCGTTGTTACACGGTTTCCAAATACAATGGATTGAATAAAATTTTGAAAAAAAAAAAAATAATAATTAAAAATAACCTTACGATGTACTTAAAAAATTTCGAGTACGTACCTTCGAATACTTCTAAACAACATGTTTCTGATGTTATTAATATTTTCAATTTGCCACGACGGACGAATTACAATTATTCTACTATATATTTTGTATTAGTCACCTATAATAGCAGTACGCAATTTTCCAAAATTTGTAATACATTGAAAGATGGAAACTATTTTTTTTTGCTAAACATTATTTGGATTTAATTTAAAACGAAATGATATTCAAGTCATTATGCGGGACCTTGAAATCGAAAACATTTTATCCTATTTCAATTTGGGTTTCTAATATAATTTTTTTTCCGCTTTTGATTTTGGTTTTGAATATAAATATTTATTTTTACAAAACTATTTGCATCGGTTGCTAACAGTGGATTTTTACTACTTATACTAAAATAATAATTTGTCCTTATTTTATATACTATCAGTAACTAGTAAGCGTATCAAAATTTAAAAGAAAATGTTTGATTCAAATTTGAAAATATTTGATAGTTTTACAAAGTTTTAAATATGTTAGAAAAAATATGGAAAACTACGATTTCTTGTTCTTAAGTCAATACAAACCCTCGGAAAAATCGTTATGATTTTCGCAGTTGGAAATAAAAATTAGAATTGTTAAAATATAAAATTCATATTTTAAAAAAAAAAAGAAAAAATAAGTTTATAGCTTAATTAAATATAATTATTAGATCCAATCATCGCAGTGAAACAATATAAAAATTATAGATGCATTTTATTGTTTAAATTATTAACTAAAAAAACAAATATTGATGAGTGAAATAGAAATTAAATTCAAAATTTTCTATCTTGGTATGTGTCCATTGTATCTATAAATTTGTTATCTTTTTTGAAGATTATATACTCGTATTTTAGTATTCAGTGATTTTGGAATTTCATGTTCTTAAATTTATGGAATACATTATACTTACACGTTTTGGCATGGTCCTTATAGAGATAACGCGATTAGTCAAATATAAAAATACCACAGTTATTTGGAATAAACTAGATTGCTGACACTAGGATACGGCACCAGTGTAATTGATTCAAGCTACTGGCCTCCATGTCAATCCAGGCCAATAAAACTCCATAAAACCCAGTTATTATGAGGGCATAAGTACTTAAACAATAAAACCCATAAGGTTTTTGGATTTCTGATGTTTTATTTGAACCTCAACCGAAAATCAGTGGATTTGTACTACTTGTGACATTATTTTTTAAATTATTATTGCACCCAATATTCATTTATTCTATACACTATATAGAATACTATTCACTTATATGAACATGGTCTGTTTAAATATTTCGCACTAAATTGAAAATAATTATTGATTAGCAATAAATCATCTAATATTTAATTTTTTTTATACAATTTCCACATTTATTTTAATTTTTGATTTTTTTTAGTTTTCTGCTCAACTTTCTTAATTTTTGCTTACATAAGAACATTCTCCTGACAATAACAAATACAACAAAAAAAGAATTATCGTTGCAGCGCGATTACTGGCGATTTGCGCTCTGGAGCATTACAATACTATATACGTTGACTGTATGCAACGAAAAACTCTAAGCCTATATTATAGCGGCGGCAGGGGTGAACTCATACGGACTGAGTCGTGCAACAATATTATAATACAATCATTCCTAGTTAATTGTTTTATTTATTTTTTGTTAAACAAGATGTTATAATTTTTAATAGAGTATTTACATTTTTTATTTATAATTACGATAGGTACAGACGATGCTGAAATTTAAAATATTATAAATAATTATTTAATCATTTTTTGTAATATAGAGGCATAACTCAATAACGCACTGGCAGTATCGAAGACATACACTAGGCGTCAAATGAAAATCTTTAAGTAATCTATATAATATTATATCATAAAATGTTTCATTACAATATTATTAAGTCGAAAACATAACAGAAGTTTCTGTTTATTATTTATTTCTGTATTATTTTAACTTTTGACATCATCTTTAACTTGAAATTTTTTTTTGTTTCTAGTTGTTTATTTACATATAATTTATAAACACCTACCTCATTATGATGTATGGTACCCACATGATGCCACATTGCCAAGCCACCACGGTCAATGGGTTAAATTGTCACCAAATATAAATCATAAATACTTACCTACGACTTAACTATATGTTGTATGCTGGTATTACGAGAAGTCTTCTATGACACCATGCATTAGTCAATTTTTATTAATTACGTTATAATCAATGTTTTCAATGGTTTAACAGTGATAATTCAGATTCCATTTAGAATGTTTATTTTTAAAACATAGACGAAATAGGTTTTCCAAAATTATTTTTTATATTGAAACTTAAAATTATTAAAAACGAAAACTAAACCAATAATTGTTTCTAAATTCTTGTCACATAATATTAAGCCGTAAACGTAGATCGTACACACAAAGTGTTGTTTTGCGAGACTTTGTTCATATTATGCACAATTCATAGACATAACAAGGGGGGGGGGAGCTTGGGTGAACTTCAGCCTCCCAGGATTGTTGGGTAATTGATTGTACTTATAAGCATATGAGTATTAACTTTATTTTTGATTACAATATAACATAGTATAATGTTCCATACAAACGAATAATCATTTAAGTCATTCGTAAACACCATTAGGAATAATAAATAATAATCTAATTAAAAATATTTGCAATAAAACATTTTAATCGACCCCCTCCCCCCACCACCCAAACCTTGAATTGAGGAACAAATCGAAGTTATTAAAAAAAAGGTCTTAGCATTGTTATATATCAATCTCTAATGATATATCGCGAGAAAGTACACTTAGCGGCGAAATGGCTACGACGAATAGTCCGGCGGCGAACCGGTGTGTGTCGAATAGTTCCATTAAATATTATTTCGAAAAAACAAAAAAAAAAATTTTTTTATTTTGAACAGGCAAATTGTTAAATGCCAATTTTAAAATATTTGAATGCTCAGTTGTACCAATAGCAAACTGAACTTGGTTTTTTTAAAAATTATAATAACTATTGCGGAATAAACAAAATGATAAGAGCAACAGCATAATTCGACGCTGTTGTAGTCATTATAGTCATTGTCCGCTCGAGGACGATCGCTAGTTATGGGTAGGGGCTGTTACAGATTGCCCGATTTTGATAGCGGTAGTGATAAGATTTTGGCCGGAAATGATAAGAGTGGTTGTTCTATGGTATAACCATAGACATTCTACTCATAAACGAAGCATGATCGTAGTTCCCGCGGCAAATATAGGGTGCGCTGCACATGTGTGGAACTTTTTCTGCGCATGCGCGAAAACACAACCAGGTTGTGTTACAACTACAGTATACTTATCGTAATATGGTAAGCATCCTCACAGAATATTTTATTAATAGACTTCAATCTTATTTTAAGTTTGTGTAATAGCTAAAAAATAATAATTATGCCTAGAATATGTGTTGTTTGTAAAAAATATGATATTAAGGGATCAGAGAAATCATTTCATTCGTAAGTACAATAATTTATATTAGAACATTAATATGTTATTCAATATGCATTAAATATTTGTTGTTATATTATTTTAGTTTTCCTAAAAATAAAGATCGTCAGCAACTGTGGTTAAAAGTGTGTAGTATAAAATGGTACCCGCCATACTACAAGATAATATGCCAAGATCATTTGTGCCAGAAAATTATCTACCAAGTGGATATCTGAAAAATAATGCTGTTCCATTTCTAACATCTAAAAGACGTACGTCGTACAGGTATGCAAAACTTTATTTATCATCAAACATTATTTTGTTACACAGGTAATATAACAGTCTAAATGTATTATTATTATTTCATCTAAGGTTATGAACCTCTAGACTATCCGGGAAAATCTAGCTCTCAAAGTCCTATGAAACGTAAAGTGCTAAATGCAAATTCTATTGGACTTTTATTGCCAAGTCATTTTAGAACTCCAAGAAAAGCACGGAGGCATTTGGACATGGTGAAAAAGATATACAGAGAAAAACAAACTCAAAATTTTAATTTGAAAAAAAAGTAAAAAGGCTGACAGAAAAAGTCTATACTTATGATGACCTTGTTCTGAAGTTACACAAAAAACAATTTTTAACTGACAATGCATCTGTCCACTTGCATGTAATTTTTTAACCTATTATACTGGGTGATTTTTTAAACATCCCCATTTTTTTATACATTATTTATTTAAATTTTGATTTTTAGAATGTTTGAAAACACTTGAAACCTATACTTTTCTTACCATTTAAGGATGATCCTGTGACAATATAAACTTCTGTTTTTAAATGGGATCCCCCCTTTCTTGAAAATGTTATTAAGTAATTACTGTTAGTCCATAAATAGAAATAATTTGTGAAAATTATCAAGTGTGATTAATACCAAATTTAAAATCACATATAATTTATATTTTTGTAAAACCATTTTTAATTATTATTATGCTCAGTATAAACATTTTAATAACTCAGAAACTACTCATTAGAATTTTGATTTAGATACATCAACATTTTCAAGAAAATCATGCACTAAATAATTTATAATAAAAAAGCGTTGTTCTCATTTGAAAAAGAGAAGTTTGTATCTCTACAGGACATTCCTTAAGTGGTAAAAAAAAATCAGGAATTTGAAAATATGCTATTTAGTATTTAGGTATAGTTAAAAATTATAAATATCAGAATTTGAATAAATGTATTATCAAAGGAAAAAATGGGGGTGAGCACGTTTAAAAAATCACCTTGTATAGGTACCTGTAACCAGTGTTGTAAAGTATTTGAGTAAATATAACCAAATACTTTTTTCTGTATTGTTTACTATTTAAAATACTTTTATTTTTGAATTATTTGCTCGGTATAACTTTTAATTTTATTGAATACTATTTTAATTGAATACTTTTTCATTCATTTAATGCTTAATTTGTCTTTATTTGTAACAAACCTAACATAATTTGAAAGTGTGTAATTAAAATTAATATTGTTTATAATTTAAAAGTAAGTACTACCTTAGTTAGCCTTACAGCTTATTGTGGTCTCGAATATAGTGGTACTTCTCTTTAACTAACTTCCACTTGACAAAATTCTATATTATAACAAAATGTATATATATATATATTTAATACCTATAATTTAAATGTATTTAATTATTTTTATTTACTAATATTATATATTATTATTTATATGCATTTTTTACACTAAAAACGAGTTGTATACATGATAAAATATCATTTTTATTTCACAATTTTTTTGTAAAATAGAGGTTCCACTTTATTTAAACAAAAAAGTGCAATTTGGATTCAATTTAAAAATTATTTACTCACGGTACTGGTATATTAACAAAACTAAAGTGTAATTGATTGTAAATTTATATTATTAATTGATGGGTACCAGTGTCGTATTTACAGGGAAGTCCATTGGGTCCGGACCCCCCACTTTGGCTCCATAAATACGTATTTAAACGTCTATCTAATACATATATATATAATATATTATTATTTTCTGTGCAAATATAAGTCAGATCTGTATAATGAAAATTTTCTGGACCCTACCCATGACAAATTCCTAAATACGCCACTAATGGGTACTATGCTTTTTTTGGTAATTTCAACTAATTCTTGTAAAAATATTGATGAAAATATAGCTATTAATGTTTTACTATTAATTTGAGTAAACTAATACTTAAATTAACTAATAATAATTTAATTTTTTTCACAATAATGAAATAATGTATTTATAGTTTTATAGTTTTGCTTTTTAATTTTTATTTATTTTGGTTTTTATTCTTTTATTTAGTCTATTGGTTCTGAATCATTACGTACTTTAGTTGAGCTTAATATGAAGGGTAAAAAGCTTCCATATACACCAGAAATGAGGAAATTTACCATAACTTTGCAGTTTTACTCAAATAAAGCTTATAATTTTGTTAGAAAGAGTTTCAAAAAAGTACTTCCACATCCCAAAACCATAAGTAAATGGTATAAAGTTGTGAATGAAGACCCAGGTTTTACTTAAGAAGCATTAAAATGTATACAGGAGAAAGCCAAGAATGAAACTGTTATTTGCAACATTGTTTTAGATGAGATGAGCATAAGAGAAAAAATTGAACGGGATGGAACTAAAATACATGGCTTTGTTGATATGGGTACTAATATCGATACAGTGAATGACAACTAGGTTCATGCAAAAAATGCACTCGTTTTTATGGCTGTAGGAGTTAATGGACATTGGAAAATGCCAATAGGCTATTTTCTTGTAGCGGGCCTAAATGGAAATGAAAGAAGTAATTTATTAAAACAGTGTTTAGTTCTCATGGGTGATACGGGTGCCAAAGTGCATTCGATCACTTTTAATGGAGCTTACAGTAATGGTAAGATGTGTTCAAATTTGGGTGGTTAATTTAATATAAATGACGAATTAAGTTTTAGCTTTGAAAATCCCTATAATAAAGAGCCCATATATGTTTTTTATGATGCTTGCCATATGATTAAGTTGATTAGAAACACTTTAGGAGAGGAGTATCTATTTAATCAAGAAGAAAAGAAAATAAGTTGGACTTGGAACCATATTAAAATGTTGTACTTCAAAGAAAAGAATGAAGGTTTAAAAGCAGCTACAAAATTGACAAATAAACACATATACTATTATAATGAGAAAATGAACGTCAAGTTAGCAACACAAGTGTTGAGTAATAGTGTTGGAAATGGTCTAAAATTTTGCAAATCTTTAGGATGTGATGATTTTAAAGATATTGATGCTGCAGCAAGTTTTGTTTTCTAATGAATGATGCATTTGATATACTCAATTGTAGAAGTAAATATTCTAAAAATCCTTATTGCCTGGCACTTGATGAAAAACAATTTGAAAAGTATGAACATTTTAACAGGAATTTTATAATTATGTATTAGGCTTAAGGTTGCCCAACGGTAAAACTGTGGTAGAATCTGGTAGAAAAACTGGCTTTGTTGGGCTTATAAAAGCATTACAAAATGTATTAAAATTATATACTTGTTTGCAAAAAAAAATTTCTCTTGCTTACTTATTGTCTTTTAAACTATCTCAAGACCATATAGAGACATTTTTTAGCTCAGTAAGACAAAGAAGTGGGTTTAACAACAACCCATCTTGTAAAGAATTTAAATTAGCTTATAAAAAACTATTAGTCCATAGTGAAATTAGTGGTTCACAGTATAGCAATTGTTCGTTGCGTATGCCAGTTTTTAGACTTTACCCATAACGTTATCGTCATTCGTCGCAGATAATGTTCACCGCACGACCGTTCCGATATCTCCGGAGAGGGAACGCTATCGGTGTGCAGCCGGCGGTCTCTTCCCCGCCGCCAACGCAGTGCCTTCAGTCGTCGCGAATCGCAAGTCGCAAATGTCGCAAAATCGCAAAGTCACCGATCCTCATCCGTCTTGACAAAATATATCGTTCGTTTTTCTTCGTCTGTGTGTCCGCCCGATCTCTGTGCGAACCGGTGCGCCGTCGCCGTCAATATCCGTTTTGTGATTCCGTGCCCGCCCGAGCCGTTTTTGCTCACCATTATAGTGCTCGCGTTCGTTGTCCATCATCACAACAGCGTTTAGCACCTCGCTAAACCGTTCAACTTCGTTATATACTCAGCCGCCCGCAGCCCCTCGCACCACGCGGTGGTGTACCTACCCAAGTCGTCCGAGCACCTCGCACTTTCGCGCGTCACGCTCTCGCCGTGACCGCGTATCATTTTTGGATATAGCGTATAGGATATTATCAAAATCACGTCATACCTATCCATCTCTTAATATTTTGTGTTAAGATCAAGATATCCGCACGCGTAGTGACGTAACCGCCGTTATTACCCACACGCGCATTCAGTATTGGCCGTCGTCAGACGACAGCCTACGCACGCACGCATCGACCGACGACCATCGATCGCGGATCAGCTTATCATCACCGACGCAGTTTGTCCAGCTACTATCGGGTCGTACCGTCCGCATTATCAAATTTATTATCATCCACCGATTTTATTATTATTATTGTTTAAGCTCGTATTGTTTTGTCACTCGAGCATTGAGTCATTATTTTTTTTAGAAGTGTATTATTTGTCATTATTGTCCCGTTGTATTGGCGACCGCTTGTGGTCGTCGGCCCCCACCTACTACTAACATAGTTCTTTAAGCTTTATTTCCCTGTAGCAACGTTTTAATATTCGTCATATTTATTTTGATACTTTTATACAGAAATTCAACACATTGTTATTTCTCACTTTCATTTTCTGCCACCCATTTCAATTTTCCTATTACAGTCTACTACTATCGCACGACAATTAGGTACCATACGCTAACACAATTCGTGAGCGGGCAATACCTTGACGATCACATCTACGCCGTCGAGCTGCACGGTTGATCGAAATCAGGTTGCCTCCACACAGCAATTGTAGTGCAATACTTGATAGCACCAAAATGTCTGTGGTAAATGTAGGTCTAGATTGTATCATAAATAATGATATTGAAGAGGATTTCAATACAGTTGAACAACATCATGATTATATACAATCTTTAAATAGACTGACACCATTTTTAGAAGAAGTTACAAGTTATATTGCTGGTTTTGTGGTAAAAAAAAAAAAAAATAAAATAATATGTGATATGTGTCACCCATTTTTGATTGATAGCTCAAATCACAATTTTAAATTAATAAACCAAAAAGATCGAAACAACGCTTTGATAAAACCTAGTTATGATGTTGTGGAGATATGTAATGAAGCAGAAAGAACTTTTCGGTCTTTTAATGTTTTTTTTACCAAATAATAAGCACAAAATGTTTAATAAAATAAAAAAATAAAATATACCTGAAACAAAATATATTTTTAAAGAATTAAATGACCATTGTATAGGCCAACAATTATTTAATTCACACCGGTATCAAATAATAGGTATGGCTATTCTCAAATATTTAAACATTGGTTTTCATCATGCTGTAGTGACAACAGAAAAAAAAAATAACAATTCTATGAGGAAAAAATTTACCAAAATTGTTTTATTTCGGAATGAGTAGCGAGAAAAAGGGTACAATTAATTAAGTGTTGTAAATACTTAATTAAATAAATCAAATATTTATATTAACATACATTATTATATTGTAGTCTAGCTACACCTACAACTCTTAAAATTATCACTTGATCTAGACTGCAGACAAATATATATTATATCAAGACTATGTTTTATAACAATTCATTAGTTTTGCTTATTATTAGTATCTGATATTTTTTTATACATAGGTATAAAAATTTGATTTTTTGTGTTAACAATATTAAAAATACTTATTTAAAAGTAAAGATAAAAAAATATTCAATTTCTAGGAAAAAAGTTGGAAATATGCATAAATATGTGCAAAAAACTTTTAAATTTTATCCAGACACTATGAAAAAAATTTGTAACAAATCCAACTTATTGTATTTGCTTTCCGGAGTTCTGAATAAATATTTAATATGGAAATGCATAGATTCCTGAGCCCTGATAATTAATAATGTTTCCATTAGATTATAATTACTACAATAGGTATTTACTATTTTTATTAGAGCAATAATTATTTAGCATTATACTATAGTATTATGCTATTATATTTATAAAGTCTTATAATATTATGTGGTAAGTGTTAATAACAATGTTTTTGGTGGCAAGGAATGGTATCACTGCTGGCACGATAGGAATGACCGCACCACCAACGCGCATCCCACCAAAATGCTCCGTCTATGAGTATAAAGTCTATGGGTATAACAGCGGTTACACTGTGACCAACTTTAGCGGAGTTTGTCGATTGCGTCCCAAATGCAGGTAAACGATTTTTTGCCCACCTTTTCCGTGTGCCGATTGCGTCCTATTGTATAGTAGGTAAGAGATAATGTGACAGATAAATTGATAAATTAAATCTAATATTTTTGTCATACGTTGTGTGGAGGTATATTTAAACACGAATTGGTTTTTACTTGATGAGTTTACGAACATTTTATCTGAAGGTTGGTATTCTTATCGATTTACGATCACGTAGCGATTTAGTACGTCAAGTGCCTTAGAATCGAGTTTTTTGTATTATTATTATTTTATAACACTGACAAGAAATATATTATTTAAATTATTTATTATTATATATTTGGATTTATTTTATTGGTTTTTGTATTATTATTATTTACAAAATAATTATTAATTATGACTATTCGTTTTACAAAATGTTATGCTTATATATCATACAACAGGACGCAATCGAAACATAAGAAGGTAAAAAAAAAATAATTTACCTATCCGACTTGTGGACGCAATCGACATACTGAAAAGGTTGAAACGGGACGCAATCGAATGACGCCCAACTTTAGGTGGTGTTGCATGGGAAGTCGGGGCATATTTTCGATCGGAGCGACGGCGCCGAGGAGCGTAGATCACTGTAAATTATTTCTTATTGGTGGTGTCACTGCTGGATCTCTGGTATATACTGTTACGAGTTGTGGTATATTTAACTCGAGATATTATCATCAACATTTTTTGGCTGTTGTCAAAATCGGGAAATCTGTACCCGTCCCTTACGGGTATTAACCCGGACATATACGGGCGAATCACAGTGCAATGAGAAGCCGACTGTAGATTATAATATATGGTTATAACTGAAAACAAGAATGAAGGACTGAAGGAGTATAAAGGCAATAATTCATTTAAAATTGTAAAAATACACTAGTACGTAATATTTCAACAAAATAATAAATAATAATACAGTGCTCATAAAAGTACGGTAAGTGATGACAATAAATCAGTAGCCTTACAGAAACTTTACTGTCATAATATATTACACATTATTTATAAATATGAGACTGCATTTAGATAATTATCATGTAGCTAAGTTATATAATAATAAGATTTATTTCTGAAAACAAAAATCAATATAATATTCAGATGAAGTAGAAAGTATATCTGAAAATAAAAATAAAAATATAACAGTTACACTTAATTTAGTTTCTTGATTTTGAATTAAATACATTATACTTAATTATAGAAACAATAGATATTTTAATCGCATAATTTATGTACAAGGTACTATATTACGTATATGAGTTGAATGCATTATAAGTATGTCAACCAGCATTACTATTTTTATTGATCTAACAAAATATGCAATTCAATTTATCAATTGAGAATTGAGATTGTTTCATTGTATTCATGTATTCAAATGGTTTTCAGTAAAATTATGAAATTTTGAACAATTCAGGGTAAATTCGATATTTACATTGTTTTTTCTATAATTATTAAATTCTCTTCTATGTGACTATATATCTATTTTAAATATGAATATGAAATGAAAATGTATTAAATTAGAATTCGTGGGTCTGGGAATAAAAACTGGGAATCGAACACAGAAAGTACAGTTCTGATTTTAACTAGTTTCATTAATATTACATCAATATTCAAAATATGAGAATATGTATATTGTATTTATGTACTTGTTCAAGAATATAAACGTGCAAACTTATTTATTTCTGTGAGTTGTGTTTTTAGTAGTATTAGCTATATTTACTGATAATTATAGTTCAGAAGAAATATAGTTAAGAATAGTTACCAAATTGGGCAAAGCTAAACAATTATTAATTTGTTGGTTAATATGAGGTAGTTCATATTATTGATATAATATTTATCTACCTTATACTAGTATACTATAATGTTCACCAACATTAAGCTGTTGCAGCTATAGTTTTTAATAATTTGATGAAATAAAATATTTTTGGAACAAAAAACCTTTTGTACCAATTTATGGGAATCTGAATGGTGTCGTACACAAAATAACAAACTGAGAGAAATAAAAAATACTACCGAATACTGGTCAAAACCTCATACATCAAATCGCAAAGATGAAGTAGTTATCAATAGATTACGTATAGGTCACTCAAAGATGTCCCATGGACATCTTATGCGCAGAGAAGAACCATCCACTGCCGTATGCCCGTATCCATATTCATATACTAGAAAAAGTCTTCAATTGCCCGGTGACCTCTTTGAAGCCCTAAGTCCTATCCATGACAACACCAACAAAATAATCATATTTTTAAAACAAATTGATATGAATAATTTAATTTAAGAATCTATTGTATAACTATACTCTATTATGTACTAATTACCAATTTTTGTTGCAAGCTAATAACCCTAGTAGTTGATGCTCTACCATGAATATATAAAAAAAAAAAATATTTTTCAATGTTTCACGACATATTTCAATATTTTAATTAAATTTGTTTTTATTTAGTTTTAGATCCATTTATCATTTGTTAATGTTTTCTATCGTGAAATAAATGTGTTATTAATGTTATGACCAATGAAGACTAAATAAAAACTAAATAAAAAAATCTTGTAAAAATTTTAAATTAAGAAAGTAAAATATCGACCGTTTAAAATTTTACAAGCAGACATGTAATAATTATTAGTTATATCGGAATATTATCTTATACTAAGTTACATGAATAGTTAAACATAAAAAGATTCCAGAGAAAAACAGTTTTGGTATAAAAGGTCTGTGTAATAGTATTATCAGAATTTCATCGGTATAACCAACTTTTCTTCAAATACCGCTGATATGGTATTCCGTAAACTTTTACATACCGTAATACCGGTATACCGAGGTTTGACGGTTTTTTTGTTGAAATTAATATTCATAAAAAAAAATGTATATTGCTTCTATAGCGATAAGGAGGATGCACACTGATCTGTGATACTGTGTATCTTGATTATTAAACCGTATTACGGTTTCCGGTGTCACGGTGTTTCGGTATGTTTCAAGTTTTGCTGTATACGCCGGTATTAAGGTATACCGTTTCATTCCAATACCCAAAATCTAATTTATAATAATATCGGTTTCCGTTTTTAATACCGTCAAAACTAACTCAATGCATTAACATCTTAAAAGTTTCATGTTCTTGTGAAATCCTTCACAACACGTTGAATGAAATATATTGGATATTTACTCACATGAAATATTTGATACATCAAACACTATCTACATAATCAGAAAAACACAGTTAATACTTGTGATCTGTGAATTGGTAACAATACCAAAATTTTTCTTACCACTGTTCAAATTTTCATTCCTCCTGTATTCATCACAAAATGACATTGATGATACATAATAAATTGGCGCTTAAAAAAAAAAACTTGTAAGTGGATGTCACTCTTTTGTACATTATGTGTCTAAGAGGACACAACCAATAAAAATTAATTAACATTTATAGAAAAGAAAAAGGAAAATGGAAATGTCCGTCGACAGGCTAAAACGAGTCAGAATATTTGAAAATTGTATTACAGTAATTTGTTTTTGAATAAAAACAAAATAAGGAAATCGCTACAAGAGAAATCGAGGGAATATCCAATGTTGAAAAAATTTCACCTTCAAACAATCATAAAAATTTAAGTAGACTTTAAGGTGGAATTAATTTTGTTTGATAAATGTACACAAACTTGTCAGGAATCTTGTTGTTCGCGCCAAGCAATTAAAATGCTTATCGCGGGACGTTAATCAGCGCGACGGCGACTTCAATCCCTCCTGTCGCCGTGCGCTGATTAAGTTGCCTATCCACCCCCAAACCGGGCGTGCAGGTAAACGTGCCAATCGACACCATAAAGTAAAAACAACATTGTTCTCGGGCACTCCCGAGTGGTCCTTCGGGTGTTACGTCCCCATTGTCGGGTGTTAACATTTTTGGTCCTTCGCGGCCGGATTAAAACTACAAACCTCGACCGAAAAAATACATGTTCATCAATTTTTCGTCATTTACCACACTATTCTGACAGATCGTTTTGAACATACATCGAGATCCGTTTGAGTCAAAGTAATTGTTACTTGACTCCTGAAACATTGTGTTTCACTGTCGTTCTACTATAGTATCAAGGCGACTTTATTTGTGTCATCATGGTTGTTGAAGCTTCTATGACATATGTCGATGCAAAGGCTCGGATGGTTCGTGCCATTGCAAAAATTACCTCTTTTGTCCTTGCTGCAGGGGAGTTCAAAGCTGAAAAAAATAATCCTGGAAAACGAGCAAAAATTTCAGCTATGCTACTGGAACTTAAAGAAATTCGCTCGACTGCAGAATCTGACATCCAAGTTATGGAGATTTCTGTTGGTAAAAGATTAGCACCAGTCGAAGTTGTAGATAATTCTGTGAGTCTCAAGCTCTCTGCTGAGTTTGATAATTTGTATTATGAGTTGGTTGCGTTCGCAGATGTGTATAGCCTGTCATTGCACCAAATTGTCGACGCCTCCTCTTCTCAGTCTGTACAAAATCATACAGCTAGTTTCGGAAATCTATCTACTTACAAATTTCCAACACGAAAGTTTCCTATATTTTCTGGAATTCTAACAGAATGGCAGGGTTTTGAAGATTTGTTCACGTCAATTCTATCCCACGCCCCAGCTGATCTTTCAGACATCGAACGATTCGAGATTTTGAAAACGTCGCTAGAAGGTGAAGCCTTGACGCTTATCGCACATATTCCTTTGACATCGGCAAATTATATAAAAGCTTGGGAAATATTACGTTCGCGATACGGAAATAAGCGTGATTTGGCGCGTATCCACCTGGACGCCTTGTTATCTCCACATACAGTCAAGTCGAACGACGCGTCGTCAATTAAAACTCTAATCACGTCTATTCAAGAGCACACAGCTGCCTTGGATAACTTGGATTTTGTAACGCGGCAGTGGAGCCCAATTTTGGTCCACATTTTTGAAAATTATCTTGATTATGACCTCCGAGCGCGTTGGGAAATCACTGTGGGTGACCGCCATCAACCATCGATTACCGATTTCCTTGAATTTCTAAGGAGTCATGTACGATCAGCGGAAGCACGTTCTGGACAGTACACGTCGAGTTTGACGTCGTTCACGTCTCAGCAAAAACCTTCTCAAAAATCGTTGACTTTCAAATCTCGTCCCCACGCTGCACCAAAGGTTCTAGCTGCTACTACCAGCTCATCCACCGTGGTTACCTGTCCATTATGTACAAAATCACATACGGTCCGGAAGTGTCCAAATTTTCTTTCAAAATCACCTAATGATCGGTTCCAGATAGCCAAGACGCATCGTCTTTGCATAAATTGTCTAGGCACAGGACATTCTACTTCGTCATGCCCTTCAAAATACAAATGCACAATGTGTGATCGGTCTCATAATAGTTTGCTCCATTTCGACCCAAAGGAAAATCTTCCATCCTCGTCCACTGTTCTCTCGGCAGACCAAACCGAGGCTGGTCAGAGTGCCAAAGCAATGATTGTCAGAGGACAGCCTCAGAACGTAGTCCTACTCTCTACTGTCCTACTTGATGTGGTTGCTGCTGATGGCACCCATCATTCAATTCGAGCCCTGTTTGATAGTGGTGCTCAAGCGAGTTTTATAACTGAACAAACTGCGTGTGTGTTGATGCTAAAGCGACATCATTCGACAGTAGCAATTACCACGTTTGCCAGCAGTACAACGTCCCCAGTCCGTGGTCAAACAACCATCACTGTGATGCCACGTGGCAAACAGGCACCGTCGTTTTGCGTGGACACTTACATCGTCCCACAAATCACAGGACCAACTCCGCAAGCTCCTATAGTGCCGGGAAAATGGAGGCACATTCAAAACCTCTCACTCGCTGATCCGTCGTACCATCGTCCTCAGTCAGTCGATCTGTTGTTGGGGGCCGATATCTTGCCAATGCTACTTCTAAATGGAAAAGCCACAGGCAAGCCTGGCGAGCCCATTGCCTTCGAGACTGTTTTCGGTTGGATCCTGATGGGACCTGTCGACAGTAATGCTCAGTCAACTGTCACCGCTATGTGTTTATCTGTTTCTGAAACTCTTGACTTGTCTATCAGGCGTTTTTGGGAACTTGAAGAGTTACCGGTTGTTCGCCATCTCAGTCCAGATGAGCGTGCTGCCGAGGAAATTTATAAAAAGACAACAACTCGGCTGAGTACTGGACGATTTATGGTATCTCTTCCATTTCGGAAAGCGTCACCTCTGTTAGGTGATTCAAAATCTGTTGCCCTTCGCCGCTTCCAGGCACTCGAACACCGACTGAGTAATGATCAAAACCTCCAACACCAGTACGCAGACTTCATGCAAGATTACCTGGACGCTGGTCACATGGAACTGGTTCCACTCGAAAACTTAGACAATGTGTTTCATTATTATATTCCGCATCACTGTGTACTTAGGCCGGACAGTAGCACCACCAAGCTTCGTGTCGTTTTCAATGCTTCGGCTCGCACAAGTGCTGGGTGTTCCTTGAATGAGAGCATGTATACAGGTCCGAAACTTCAGCCCGACATTCAAGTTGTTCTTCTTCGTTCACGGTTGTGGAAATATGTATTTATGACTGACATCAAACAGATGTATCGGCAAATTGTGGTGCGGCCTGCTGATCGAGATTACCTGCGAATTTTCTGGAGATTTTCGAAAAATGCCACAGTGCAGGAATACCGTCTCTGTACGGTCACCTACGGCACATCAGCGGCACCATATCAAGCTCTTCGTACAATTCAGGAATTGGCAATCGTTGATGGAAAATTATTTCCCATCGCTGCGTCAATTCTCCTGAACGACACCTTCGTCGATGATATTCTCACTGGAGCTAACACCGAAAAGGATGCTCTTGAATATCAGTCGCAGCTTATAAACTTGTGTTCATTAGCCAAGTTTGAGCTCCGAAAATGGGCCAGCAATAACAGTAATATTTTACAAGCTGTTCCCGCAGAAGCTCAAGCAATGTCTCCAGCCCTTGTGTACAATGAAAAAAATGAATTTGAATTAAAAATACTAGGCCTAAAATGGGATCCGAGAGCTGACGTGTTTTCATTTGATACAAAACCATCGTCAACCGACCCGACAAAGCGGTCAGTCCTCTCAGACATTGCCAAAGTTTTCGATCCATTAGGCTTGCTTTCTCCCATAACGTTCTGGACCAAACACGTCATGCAGTTGCTTTGGACCGCTGGTCTCAAATGGGATGATAAGATACCCACAGACATTGCTCAAGTTTGGACACGATATCAATCAGAACTGAAGTTGATTGAATCGATCTCTATCCCTCGTCGTCTAACAGTTGACGAGGCAACCACTGTGCAACTTCACGCTTTCTCGGATAGCTCAGAAAAAGGTTACGCGGCAGCAGTTTACCTTCGAACCCAAACAGCTACTTCAGCTCATTGTCACCTTGTAACAGGTAAATCCAAAGTAGCACCTCTCAAAAGGTCTACTATCCCACGACTTGAGCTGTGTGGAGCTGTATTATCCGCCAAACTGTTACGCTTCGTTGCTGATACTTACTCCAAGAGTCTAAAAATTGATGAGTTGCATGCTTGGACGGACTCAACCACTGCGCTAGCCTGGATACAATCGTCACCTCATCGTTGGGCCACATTCGTGGCAAATCGAACAAGTCAAATTCATGAATTCACGTCACCAGACATTTGGCATCACGTCCCCACGCAGCACAATCCGGTCGACTGTGCTTCCCGCGGACTTTTCCCGTCGGAACTTGTTGATCACCCGTTGTGGTGGACGGGCCCTGAGTTCTTGGTGGAATCACCGGAAAATTGGCCATCTGTTGTCCCTCGTTCAGACAACACAGATGATCACGTCTCCACTGAAGCTCGAAAATGTACTGTTCTCCTTACTAAGACTACATGCTCAATTATTGACGTTCTGCATCGTTTCTCGTCTTTCGATAAAATTCTTCACATTGTCGCCTACTGTCTTCGCTTCTCGAAATCACGTCCTCCTACATTTACACAGAGTGTTAATGCGAGCGAGCGAGAACGAGCCTTGTTGGCCTTAGTTTATTCCGTCTAACAAACAACATATTCCGATGACATATCCTCGCTAACAAAAGGATTGCGTTGCTCTCCTGCCATTCGGAAATTAGATCCTTTCATTGATGACTATGGACTATTCAGAGTGGGGGGCCGTCTCACGAATGCTGATCTACCGTACTCTCACAAACATCCACTTCTCTTGCCATGCCACCATCGATTAACATTGTTACTGATTGACTATCATCACCAGCGACTGAAGCATCCAGGATGCGCATCCCTTCAAGCGCATCTCCAACGGGAATTTTGGATACCATCTGTACGAAAGATTATTCGATCTCGGATACGGCTCTGCATCTCATGTTTCCGCACCAGGCCGCGTGCAGTTCAGCCCAAGATGGCCAGTCTGCCGAGCTTTCGGGTGCAGCAAGTGAAACCGTTTGCAATAACCGGAGTCGATTATGCTGGACCAATTACGTTGAAGGAAGCACGTGGACGAAGGTCGGTTCCGAAAGCAGCATACATTTGCCTGTTCGTCTGCACCACGACAAAAGCGCTCCATTTAAAGCTCAGTTCAGATTTGTCCACAGAATGTTTTCTGATGGCATTCACTCGATTCTCCGCCAGACGCGGACCCATCAAGGAATTACACAGTGACTGCGGGACTAATTTTGTCGGAGCGTCACGATTGTTGAATCCCTTACATCAATTCACTCATTCGAAAGGTTTTCAAGAAAGTGTTCATAATCACCTCGCTAAACACCAAATAACCTGGCACTTCAATCCTCCCGCCTCTCCCCATTTTGGGGGTTTATGGGAAGCCGGAGTAAAATCCGCAAAGTCATTAATTCTTCGGTCCGTTGGATTGCACAAATTGACAAGTGAGGAATTTTTGACACTTCTCACGCAAATTGAGGCAACATTGAACTCTCGCCCATTGTGTGCTATCAGCAACGATCCAGGTGACTTGGATGCGTTGACTCCCAGCCATTTTTTGACTCTTGAACCTTCCACATCGCTTCCAGAACCAAGTCTTGTCAATCAACCGATGTCAAAATATCAGCGATGGCGCCTCATTACCGATCTACATCGCCATTTCTGGACCAGATGGAAGAACGAATATCTCAGTAGTCTTCAACTTCGGAGAAAATGGTCAGAACCAGGTCAAGAATTACGAGTTGATGAGCTTGTCCTCGTGAAAGAAGCGACACATCCTCTTCGTTGGCGGATTGGACGAATACGTGAGCTTCATCCTGCCTCCGATGGTACTTCCAGAGTGGCCACTCTAGACACTACCTCTGGACCGTTGACACGCCCAGCTGTCAAGCTCTGTCCACTCCCAATGTCTTGAAGGGATTCCTTCAAAGTGGGCGGTGATGTTCGCGCCAAGCAATTAAAATGCTTATCGCGGGACGTTAATCAGCGCGACGGCGACTTCAATCCCTCCTGTCGCCGTGCGCTGATTAAGTTGCCTATCCACCCCCAAACCGGGCGTGCAGGTAAACGTGCCAATCGACACCATAAAGTAAAAACAACATTGTTCTCGGGCACTCCCGAGTGGTCCTTCGGGTGTTACGTCCCCATTGTCGGGTGTTAACACTTGTATTACATTTTTAATTCTTAGATATGAATATGAACATTTTTATGAATTTCTAATTGAATATAATTTGAAAAGTTTCATGGGTTCTACAATATTTGTCAAAATTCTAAGTTTATATAGTTAGTTTAGTTATTTATAGTTTTAATCATATACTATGATAAAATAGTTAATTCTAAATAACGAGTCAGTTGTATATGTTATTGTTTTTTAACAAGTTAAATAATTACATACCATATTTATTTCTATATCTTTTAATGAACTCACGCATTGGAACTGAAATTATTTTAATTAGGTTGTAGTAATTGTTTATTGTTAGGTGCTTTGTAAATGATACATTTCATATTTAAATTATATACAGTCATAAGTACACTTGAATTTCATAATTGAAACATTTATTTGTGCTTAATTACAGACTATTGACAAAACAACTCACCAATTTTAAATTCTTGATTCTCCACTTTCAACTCTATATAACATACAAAATATTTCTATTTTTGGCCATATGCTCGTAAAAATAGATATTGAATGTATAAGTAATTGGACATGTAGCGATATAATTATGCATAACTTGACTACATGGTAGCCACTGCCGCACATAAATCACTTATGAAAATGAACCTAACTAGTTATGAGTACTTACTTAAATCGTTGATTCTGGTTTCATATTCATCGGTTTTTAGAAAACTGTCATCTATAAAAAGACAAATTATGTTTTGCATTTATCTCAGTTTAATACTTATCTTATAATTCATTCGAACTGACTAAACATGGATTCAATATCTAACCAAAATTATTCACTTGAATAATATAATAAATTAATAACCTATGGCTGCTAGATTTTTCGATACGTCAAATATGATTCAAAATGAATAAATTTTCAAATTTAAACCAACATTTAGCTTTATATCATAACTTAATAGCCACTCAGACCCCAGGGGTTCATATAATTACAAGTCAGAGGTGACAAAAAGCAGTTAAAATGATTGTTTTCATTTAGAGTTGTGTTTTCATTTTCAAGAAGAGGTCCATGCCTTTGATTCTTAAACATTGTAGGCGGATCCACGTTTTCAACTGTAAGTTGAAAATCTTGTTTGACGAATCTCATAATAAATATCTCTGCAACGACGGGAATGTTATCAGTACACGTTGTCACTCGCTAGAAGAAGCAACTAGAATAAAGGCTGTGGGCAATTTGATGAAATTGACTAAAAAATGTTTAGCCGTCGCGCGAAAAACATTCAAAACTAAGAAGACTAAAGTTCCACGAATAATATCGATTCCAAAAAAAATCTGTGTGTTGATAGTTTGATACACATTCCGATAACCTGTCAGCTCTGGGAGCCCTGACTGGCGGCGTAGTCAACGTTATGAAGGTTGCTAATGAATTTAATAGAAACACACCATCGCATTTGGGCAAAGGGTTGTATCTCACACCGTATAAAGGAAACTCATACAAAATCAGTTCCGGTTTATCAATACATAAAAGTGGTGGGTGTATCAAAGCGAAAAAAAACTAATATCTACGTTACCCAGTAGAGCTCATTGTTCGATTTTAAACTTATAAAAATCGCTCGTTTAAGGTAAATACCTCATTTTCTCGGCATATTTACCAGAGATAGGTTATGAACAACCAATACTATAATCTCAAGCAAGACGATGATCCAGTTGATTTCAATTTCTGTATTTCTATTCCGTTTATTTCATATCGCATCTCGAAGAATAAAACTACCAACCCATTATTCGAAAAACGAACTACTCCAACCGAATCGGAAGGTTTGTTAACTGACGCCTAGCGGTTTGTTCACTGTCAACTAAAAAATCTTTAGGTACATTTAAATTCCGAAGTGAATCCATGTGAAGACTTTTGAGCTGATTTTAACAATAATACCCCCAGCCTACTCTACAAAGCTTATACAAACTTTCAAAAATCGTATTACGAAAGAGATTATTGCGAACCATTGTTATCAAAACATATTTTTCAAAACTAGGTGCCAATCGTCGTTGATATGTCGTACCAGAATGATAACATTAAATCATCTACCGTGGACCTACGAAAGGACTTTGAAACGGACACAGTTATCACAGAAAAGACAGCAGCTTATTGTTTAATACTAAATGATCAGATTATAATTACTATAAGTTTAGTGGAGATGTTAGAAAATTGTAAACTTTGTATATATTATAACTCTAATGATTTTAGACCTTATATTTATTTTTATACCCTGTAAATATTATATATTATTTTCAAATAAAAAAACTTGTTTTTAAATATCACGCTTGACGGTAGCGGAGAATCATGCGGGGATGAGTGAAGGTGTCAGATTCGGTGATGTACGGCGGCGGGTGAGTAAAGGTACGGTGAGTATTGTGAGGGGAGAAACATACAACGCGTAAACGTGCGCAACCGGTGGTGGGATGAGCACCTGGCATGGTCTGGGATGAGCAAGCCGGTATAGGGAAGAGCCAGCATGATGAATGGCGCTAGAACTCTCCTTTTTATACTACTTGAAGTGTTTACGGTAAAGTCTATCAAAAACGAAACTAAAACTCCAACTAAAACCACATAATGACTAAAATATCAAAAAAATAATTTTCATACTATCACACTAGTATGTTGACAAAAAAAAAATCAACTACTATTATTAAATTCGAAACCACAAATATGGAATCTCTCTACAAAAAAAAAGAATTCATATTACATGGACATTATATTTTTGTAATTTAAAGTGAAGAAACAGATTTAAAATTTCCATCAGAAAACTGTCATATGGATATGATATTATATTATTTCTCAGTTATTGGGAATTATAATTATATATATAAGGCACAGTAAACATAATATAGTATTTTAATATTACCTCTTGACTAACTAGTACTGTGAATACTTACAAACAAAAACTGTGATCGCCTCTTCCATTAACATATCTGGAGTATTGGCTGTAGAAAAAAATAATTATACCATTTATTAAGGTACATAAACCTCAATTGGTTACTATTTTTATATTTTGGTCTAATCAATTACACAGGATTAAAATAATTGGTATTTTTTTTTAATAGTCTTCTCACATGAGTCATACATAATATTATATAAATGGCTACGTGAATAATGTTCAGTACTACAGTATTAAAGCATCAGAACTCCAAAAAAAACTAAAGGGCGTATAAGAGATTGTGTGTGTGATTTATTTTTCTCTTAACGATGAAGAATTAAAAATAATTAGGTTATTTTCAAACAATCAATTTTAATAATATAATCACGTGAAAACCGATTTGTATGACTTTACATTGTACACAGGAATCTATGTAACGCAATCCGTATTATTATTAATACATTTTCGATTAGATGATTAATGCGTTTTTGTGTTTATACTACTTATTATAATATAGTAAATCTTATATGAACATATAGTACATTATAAAATATTAACATATAACATTATTAATAACTAGTTATGTGTACTTACTAACATGATCGTATTCGCTTTTATAATCAGCAGCTATTAAAAAATTAATTAAATTATTGATGTAACTCGGTTTGATAATGTTTTAATATTTCAAAAGAATCAACTACACATATTTTTATATTGCGGAAGTGAAGTAAACATTACATAATATGTGATTGTATTAAAATTATAAAGTTAGCCTGATGTCATGAACATGACCCTCAATTTTCAACAGTTGATGAAATATCAAAAAAAAATATGTGAAGAGTAAAAATCACAATAGCTGTCATATGTCCGGATCAATCAATAATTATGTTTCTAAATTAATCAAGGAAAATTTAATAGGAAAATAAATTTATAATTTATAATTCAATAGCAAATAACAAATATGTCTGGTATAAACATATGTTAAAGTCGGTTAACATTATTGTTTTACGATTATTAGCAGTGTGATCGTATTGTCAATATAAGAAATTCAACGAAAATACAATTGTTCATATCACTCTAATTCTTGAAGAAATTGGTTCCCTAATTCCTGATGTAAATCGCTCTCTGTATCATATTTAGATAATAATGAAATATATGATTAATCTGTACTTGTGTTTGTATTCCTTATCGTAATACTTTTACACATCTATAAGAATTAAGAGCAGTGTATATTAAAAAATATTTGAGGATAAAAATGTTAGTAACTCATAATTTATACTTACGGATTTTTCCATTTAAAACATCCTCATATGAAAGACCGTTATCAAGTTGATTCACTATAAAAACATAAATTATTTTACACATAAATATTTATTTATTCATTTCAGTTAAATGCATCACTACAACCATATATTAAGTTGTTTGTAATTTAGAAACGGTTAGTTTGAACACTTGTACATGTATACGTTTAAGTCCTTGACTTATTGTTGAAAATCCTGAATGGTCACCCATCTGGGATCTAGCAACAACGGCTGGCGCGTGCACTCAAACAGCTAAGGAACCGAGCATTGTAGGATATATGTTTATTAAGTTAGAGGCACACCAAATCACTATGTGCGTGTTCTTAATTCACCGTTTTAATAATAATTTATTCTCGGAAAAATGATGATATGCTGACAACTCATTATTTTTACAACCTTTTAGAGAACCACCACATATAAGTAAGTTATCTGAGTACACTTGAATACTTTCTAACTCAATATATTTCATTAAAGCTTGAAGTGTTCTTGGAGCCGAAGCTATATCATAAAAAAGTCTATTGAATTGATTGATAATTTATGAATGTTAATAATGTTCAAATAAGTCGACTTGCAGAGGCTACTTTAAGTTGTAAATACGCTTCACATAAATCAGTTAAATTTGATAAAAATGTCTCGAGTTATATTATGATTGAATACATCGTCTCTTATTTTGGCAACGGATATTTGTCTACTTTTCTGGAAGGATTTAGAAAATTTTTTAAATCGACTCAAACTAATATTTTCTTATTATTATTATTAATTTTCTTTATTACAACTATTGGAGTCTAGTAGAAGTCCATTCGCATATTTTATCATGAAATATTACGTCTTCAAGTTCTGTTTGGACCAGACAACGGAAGGTTAGGTTATTTCAGGCACTTTTCCCGAAATTTCATGGAGGAAAAAAAGATTTCCCGATTTTGAGAGCGGTAGTGATGAGCTTTTGGCCGAAAATGATAAGCTTGGTTGTCGATGGTATAATAGCGGTTACACTGTGACCAACTTGAGGTGGTGTTGCATAGCAAGTCGAGGGATATTTTCGATTTGCTAAGCATAGTGATGAATGCCGCTAACAAGGCAACACTTCAAATTATTTCTTCTTGGTGGTGTCACTGCTAGATCTCTGGTATATTCTGGTACGAGTTGTGGTATATTGGATGTTGGCTAGGTTGGGTTATCATTCTTTTTTTATTATTTTTTTTTCCTCTCCATGAAATTTCGGGAAAATACCCATCCCACGCGTTAGCATATTATGCGTGATACAAGATATTTTTATCAGTTTGAATTATGATCTTTTTTGTATTATCATTTTTAGTATTATCATAAATATTATTATTTGTTGTTAGTATACTCGTAATATCCCGGATTAAGTTAAGGTTCCGTCCTTTTATTATTATTATCAAACTACATTTGTTTTATATAGTAGGTGGGCGTCTACTCCCCGTGTTATAATATTTGTGCTATAATTATCATTTGTTCATGAGTGTGATGTGCTGTTACATACTCAATACAGTCCACTGATACTTTATTTATTAACAATCAGGTTTTACTTTATTTTTTCTTATTAACCATTGTTTTGTTGCCTAGTAATAATAGTTTTAAAGGGAAATACAGTACACACATTACAAGTTCTATTATCACAAGATCCTCTAACTCTTGTTTTAAAGCATATTGAAACTCAAATGTACTCCATACAATTTTGGTATACTATTAATTTATATTGATTATATGATAAATATGTACGTGTATCAGTAAAACGTACTACCTATAATACATTTAACCATAGCACAGTATATATAATAAGTATTTAAATATTACATTATAAATTACTATCATTGAGTACTTACAGAACATAGACACTAAGGTATCAAAATTATTCATTTGATCCTCTGGTAAATCTATAAAAAGATAAAAATTATCTTTTTTTTTTAGTACAATTCAATGGTCATGAGCTCTTTTGATAGGTCAATAAATACAGCATAATATGTAGTTGCTGGCTATTATAAGGCACGTGTACAAAATGAATCTGCACCATAAGTAGTTAACGACAAATGAATTGTTTGTGCACAAATAGTATGTGGGAACTATTACACAGCCAGTGCATAGGTAACAACTAGAGAGTAGTTGTTTTTTTTTCCTTCTGTGATATGTGATATGCGATCAAACAGTATAGCTCCTCAATCACAATATTATATTTTTTTGGCCATTTATAATCGGTAATTTTATTGAATTGTATAAAGAAGTTATGAAACAAAAATTAAAATGATTATTCAAAAAAATGAACAAACCTTCTGACCACTTTATGAGTTTTTCATTAAACATTTGCCCTATAAAAGTTTAAATTAAACATAAGTAATGACGGCGAATATTTACATATATATATTTTTATTTCACTCTATGTACTTATATAAACCTTCACTAAATTACTGGGCCGATGATAATGACATTTGTGTGTGTTTCAGTCTGTCACTAGATGTTTCAAATAAACAATTGGCCCTTTTAGGTGAAACGTGGAGAGTTTTTCAAACATATTTTGCTATTCACGATGAAAATATTTGTGTATAAACGTGTACTATATTGGTTGAAGATTACAGATTATTAAAGTTATAGGAGAAATAATTAGGTAGTAGAAGTAAGTATTTTTTTTGTATAAATGGTAGAAATTATTTACCCTAGCAGTGCGGTAAAGTACTTATCAAGCCTTCGTTTTAAATTTTTTTTAATTTAATGAGTGTTGTTTATCCATTTTGCTGATTTTTTCAATGTTTGAAGTTAATATTGGAAGTATTTTCTTAATTATCTAATAATTTGCTTACATTTGCACTGCATTAAAAATTTTCTATTTTGGAATAGAATCTTAAAAAATTGATGGATTAAATAATTGATTATAAGGACCTGAAAACATAGGGCACATAAATCACCACTATTCAAAATATTAAAATTAATGTATATTTAAAAAAAAAATAAGTGCCCAAAAAACAATATCTTGTATACCTAATATGAAGGCTGCTATACCCGCCTATGTTGTCAAATTATTAACCAATAATAAAACAAAATAATCGAATACAGTCAAATATAAAAGATGTTTAAATTTATAAATTAAAAAATGATTTGAAAATATCAAATCATAATGTAATTGGTTTCAAAAATCTTCTTTCTACGATTATTGAGGGTCATTTGAAGACAATGGGAAGTCCAAAGACATGTTATCATATAGTTAAAATAACGGCATTTTAGAAATAAAATCAATCAACATTTCTCTGTACTAGAACTATAGAGCTCTCAGTAATTTATTATTCATAATAGTATAAAATTGATCATGTTGAGGGATACTCAATGTATTTTTTATGGTAAACGCTTTACTGTTAACTATTAAGTAAAATAAAATTACTTACTACAACATTTCACTGCACGATCAAACTCTAAATAATTTAATAGTTATTAAAAAACGTGTAAGGTATTTTACAAACAAGATGATTGTGAAATAATTGACATCTAAGATAAGTTAGATATAAATTCAGAAGATTTTTTTGTAAAAATTACAATCTGATCAGAAATCTCATTCTATTTAATAATATGTATTGATTACTATTTCATAAATATAATAATAATTCTATACTTTGCATTCATTTAATTTTTGAATATATGATATTGTGTGATTTGTCATAATAATATGTAGTAAAATGATAAGAATATACTCACGGTCTTTTTTTGTTAACGTTGCACCTATATTTCCAAGTACATAGAACATAAAACATAAAGTCAACAAATTAATATGTTTAACCATCTTGTTATGTACCTACAAAAAATTTGTAATAATGATTTCGTTTAGAAGTATGCAGTAAGAATGATATTAAAAAATTAATGCTTAACAACGGTAATATTTTATAAGTCTATTCTAAAATACTAAACGAAATGTGATCTAGTGCAACTGGGTAAACCATTTGGGAAAGAAGTAGTGTGTAAATAGCGTTTTGTTGTCAACATAACACCCAAAAATTCATGTTTCGAACGAAACCATTGAATAAGCATTTTTCAATAGTGCATATAATATTATATTATTCTTACATTAACTATGGTATTTTTTTGTGTTTATAATATGTTAAATATTAACCTCTAGCCTATTAAAAAATCCGACCCTTCATCGCATTTCTTCTTTTAAATCTTCATAATTACATACTATTTCATGTTATTATAAGACATTTATGATATGGATTCAAAAAAAATGTGGGGTATTTTACTACGAAATACTGAGATGGAGAACAAATCATAAATCAAAATTACAAAAAATTAATTTTTCAGACAATTTTAAGGAGTGAAGCCACTGTCAAAAAAAATCATTTTAGCAATTGTTCACTTTTATGAGTAAACAATAGTTGACATTATAAGGTGTATGCAATAGAAAAAGTACTTATCAATTTTAATAATTGTATTCTCGACTTGGGAAAAATAGTATCCAACTCAATACCTAGAGAATAATTCAATCAGACATACATCATTACGATGAAAATAACAACAAATCCTTGAGCTCACAAAACCGTATCACATTATCTAACAGACATAGATTAAAACTGTATGTATAGTTCTTGGTATATTTCCTAAATGTTCTTTTTTATAACTTAATACGGTTCAAATGTTGACAAAATTCATCAAAATATCAAAAACTTTCAAACATTTTTGCCGTAACAAATTTGTTATTTTTGTAGTTGTAAGTATTAAAAATTTAATAACAGATTACTCATAAGTAGGTCATACCACATTCTGTTAAGCAGGTACATTGTTGGTACTATTTTTTTGTATGTATCACCTTAGTAAATATTTAGCATACAAATTAAATATACTGCAGTGACTAAGTATTTTGAACACATGTATAATTGTTTTTATACAGGGAAAAATACAATGGGCTGAATAAGTTTTTACCAAAATAAATAAATTTAAAATAATGTAACGATTTACTTAAAACATTTCTAGTACTTACCTTTGAATATTTATAAACAACGAGGTTTTAATAATATTAATATTTTCAATTTGCCATGACAGACGAATTATAATTATTCTACTATATATTTTGTATTATCACCTATAATAGCTGTGCCAAATTCTCCAAAATTAGCACTACATTGGAAATTGGAAACTATTTTTTGCCAAACATCATGTGGATTTAATTCAAAACGAAATGATATGCAAAACATTATACAGGACTCAACGTTTTTCATATGTAAAAAAATATGGAAAACTGCGATTTCTTGTTCTTACGTCATTACAAACCCTCGGGAAAATCGTAAGGATTTTCGAAGTTGGAAATCAAATTAAAATTGTTAAAATGTAAAATTCATACTTTAATTACAAAAAATAAGAAAAGATATATTTAATGCTTTATTAAATATAATTATAAAATCCAAACTTTGCAGTGCAACGTTACAATACTTACATTGACAACGACACTGGCGTCAGTAACAATATTAACAATTCATATTTTTAAGCACAATATTGTAAAAATAAGCAATTTTCGCAAAATGTATGAAATATGCAAAAATATGCACATTCAAATTTTAGATTTGGTATCATGGCATAGAGAAAAGAATTTATTTCGCACCCTGCTACATTTTACAATAAATGAAAAAGTATGCAATTGCTATAAGTCCTGAACCTTGGTTATAACGGAAAACAAGTATGAAGAAATTTAAAATCAATAATTTATTCCGAATCGTAAAAATACACTAGTAGTGACTAGTACGTAATATTTCAACAAACTAATAAATAATAATACAATAAAAGTGCTCTTAAAAGTATGGTGATTGATGACAATAAATCAGAAGCTTCACAAAAACTTTACTGTCATAATATATAATATACTATTTATAAATATATAAAGTGCAATTAGATAATTATCATAAGTTATATAATACAATGATTTATTCTCGATTATATAAAATCAATATAATATTCAGATGGAGTTGAAAGTTTATCTGAAAATAAAAATAAAAATATAACAGTTACCCTTAATTTAGTTTCTTAATTTTGAATTAAATACATTATACTTAATTATATAATAGTAACAATAAATATTTTGATCGCATAATTTATTTAAAAGGTACTATATTATTACGTAAATGAGTTGAATGCATTACTCTATGTTAACCAGCATTACTATTTGTATTGATCAAACAAAATATGCAATTTAATGTCATAATTGAGAATTGAGATTTTGTCATTATATCCAAATGGTTTTCAGTAAAAATATGAAATTTTGAACAATTCAGGGTACCTCGATATTTACATTGTTTTTTCTATAGTTATAAAATTCTCTTCTATATGACTATATGTTTAACTTAAATATGAATATGAAATTTACATGTAATAAATTAGAATGCGTGGGTTTAGGAATAATAACTGGGAATCAAACACAGTAGGTACAGTTCTCATTGGAACTAGTTTCATGAATATTACATCAGTACTCAAAATACAAGAATATGTATATTAAAGTGTTGAGGAATACATTGTATTTATGTACTTATTCATATTCAAGAATATAAAAGTGCAAACTTATTTAATTCTGTGAGTTGTGTTTTTATTAGTACTAGCTATATTTTCTGTTAGTTATAGTTCGGAGGAAAATTAGTTAAAAATAGTAACCAAATTTGACAAAAGCTAAACATTTATAAACTTATTGGTCAATATTAGGTAGTTCATATTATTAATATAAATATATAATATTTATCTACCTTGTACAACTAATGTTCACCATTTAACATTAAGCTGTTCCACCTATAGTTTTTAATAATTTAATGAAATATTTTTATATTTTAATATAATTTGTTTTTGTTTATTTTTAGATGCATTGGTCATTTGTTAATGTTTTCATGCATGTAATAAAGGTGTTATGTATTATTAATTTTATGATAAATTATGATAAAAAATAAATGAAAAAAACATGTTCAAATTTAAACTAAGAAAATAAAATATCGACCAACTACTAAATTACAGACATGTAATAAATTTTAGTTATTTAAGTATATTAGCTTATATTTAGTTACTTGCATAGTTGTATTAATACTTTGTAGTCGAATATGAGAAAAGATTCCAGGGAAAAAAAAGTTGTGTTATAATAAGTCTAAAAGAAGACTGTAGTAAATAGTATTATCAGTATTTCATCGGCATACCGGTCTTTGCAAAAATACAGCTGAAACGGTATTCCGTAAACCGGTACATACCGTGATACCGTTATACCGTGGGGTGATGGTTTTTTTCTTTGTACCGATTTTTTCTGAAATTAATATTCATAAAAAAATTAATAGAGATTGCTCGAAGTACCGATATGCAGGATTCACACTAATCCGTGATAATGTGGATCTTGATTTTTAAACCGTATTACGGTTTTTCTGTATCACCGTATTCCAGTATGTTTGATTTTTGCTGTATGTGCCGGTTTTACGGTATACTAGCTGTTTCATTCCGGCACTTCAAATCTAATAACTAATATAATAGCACTCCCGGTTCTGATTTCAATACCGTTCACCCTAACTCAATGCATAAATGTTTTAAGTTTTTCCAAAAATCTCACTTCATAATGAATGAAATATTTATGAAATTTACTCACATGAAATATTTGAGACTTCAAACACTATCTAAATAATCAGAAAAACACAGTTAATTCTTGTGATGATCTGTGAATTGGTCACAATACTAAAATATTTCATACTAATGGCAAATTTTTCATCCGATCTGTATTCATTACAAAATATATTTGGTGTTGAACAAGTAAATTTTGCTGAAAAAAAAAATATTAGTTTAATTGAATTTAAAAAATGGATTTATGGATGAAGATTAATATATTATTATAGTACAAACTCATAGTCTTAGAGCATATATTATGATAAAATAATTAATTCTAAAATCGCTTGAGTTTTATATTTTATTGTTCTTTAACGAGTTTAACGAGTTATTGAGTACATACCGTTTTTATTTCCATATCCATCAATAAACGTACGCAATGGATCTGCAATAATTGGAATTAGGTTCTAGCAAGTGTGTGTGTTGTTAGGTTCATTTTAAATGATACATTTCATATTACATCAATATTTGCAGTATACACAGTCATAAGTATAAATTAATCTTACAACTGAAACATCTAATTGTGCTTAATTATAGACTATTAAAAACAATAAACTCACCAATTATAAGTTCTTGATTATTCACTTTCTTCTCTATATAACGTATAATATAAAATATTATACATTAGGGCATTGGCTCATAATAACATTATATATTGAAACCTAACGGACTTGTATTCACATAACAATGCACAACATTAACTTGTTATGGTAGGTACAGCCGCACATAAGTAACTTATAAACTTATAAATAACTAGTTATGTATGCTTACTTAAATCATTGATTCTTTGATCAAAATCATTACTTTTTATAAAAGTATTAACTATAAAATTTAAAAATTATATTATTAATTCATCTCAGTTGGATACTGTTTTTAAATTTCATTAGAATTGACTACAAATACTTGTGTTTATGGAATTACAACATAAAAATACGGAATAATATGTAACGAGACTGAGATTATCCGAGATCACAATTCTATGCATAACTAACAGCGCGGACCGTGGTTAAATTTGGAATTACCTCACAGTGGACTACCGCCGCGCGTATATTACATTAACGTTATAGTTTTTAATGTTTTTATATTTCATTCAATTTTACTACACATACTTCGGGTACAAAAATAGAACATAATAATATACCTTAAGATATTTAAATTATTCAGTTGGAGTTAATGGTGTATGACAAATAATTTTCAGTAATGAATCGAATATCTAACCAACATTTTTCACTCGAATAATATTATAATCGCAATTAGGTACAAATAGATGTCTCGATACGTTAATTATGGTTTAAAATGAATAAATATTTAAAACAATAATTCAGTTATAAATCATAACTCTGTTGCCACTCAGACCCTTGAGTTTGATATAAACATAAGTCAGAGGCGAGAAACATCAGTTAACGTTCGATCATTTAACAAGTGAGTATCCCGAGTTTTGACAAACTTCTGATAGCAACATCGTAACTTTTAAGTTCAGTCTGGTACTATGATTTCTAATTGACAAGAGCACTTACATAAAATGAGTGATACAGACTCAAAACTAATTTCTCCCAAAGCCAAAACTAAACTAAAAAACATTCTGACTAAATTCTCATTTTCGAATTTTCTTTGTAACAATCTAGAGTATTATCATTATTCATTAATGCGTATAGGAATATATGATTAATACGTATTTGTATTTGATTTACATATTGTTATGTATTGAATCACATTTAACTCTAAAGGCACAGCACACATTATTCAGCATTTTAATATTACACCATGACTAGTATTGTGCATAGGTACTTACATACAAACAATGAAATCACGGCTCCCATTATATGATCTGAAGTCTTGGCTATAAAAAAATTAATTATACCATATATTTTGGTACATAAACCTCAGTTGGTTACCTACTAGTGCTCACAATATTCCCCAACTCTTACCAATCTCAACATGCCTGCCACCTACCATAGCAGAAGCACTCGGCAAAAGTCAAACACCAAAAATGAAAGTATTTTAATGTAACACAGATATCATAAAAAAAATTGTAATTTATACAACTTGTAAAAACAACTTGTGTAACAACTTATCTTAAGAAAAATACCATGTAAAAATGTTATGTCAGGCTTATAACCGAAGATGTTGAAGCCGTTTCTCTTAATAAAAAAAAAAGAATATAGGAACAATATACCGTACTAATATGTCTCAACGTTGTATTAATAATAAATGCAACAATAATTCAATTTATCACATTCTTCAAAGTGATTTATTTTCCTCTTCCCCGATGCAAAATTAAAAAAAATATACTTAAACATAAAGTTGTTTTCAAATAATCAATTGTAATAATATAGGCATATGAAAGCCGATAGGTATGAATTCAAATTGTAACATAGCAATATAATTATAGGGATCGCTTTACGTATTATCATTAATACATTTTCGTTGGATGATTAATGCGTTTTTGTATTTGTTCTACCTATTATGATATATTTAATCATATATAAACATTATAAAGTATAAACACATAAAACATTATACAATTTTAACATATAACATTATTAATAACTAGTTATGTATACTTACTTATATCATATTGTTTGTTTTTATAATCAGTAGCTATTAAAAGATAAATTAAATTGTTGATAAATCTCAGTTTGGTACTGTTTTATACTTTAAGTGAATCAATCACACGTACTTTTATATTGTGTATAATGGGCTGATAGGTACTTTTTTACCAGGATGTATTTATAAGGGCCACATATACTTAGCGTTTATATATTGTATACAGGGTGATCCAACAAGTATGTTCACCCCCCTTTTTTTCTTTAATTAAGAAGTTTTTCAAAATCTGATCTTCGGAATCTTTAAATATACTCAAAGACCTTATTATCATATTCTTGAGATTTTTTGTACCACTGAAGGAGTGTCCTGAAGCGATAAAAACTTTTGTTTTTCAAATGGGAACCCCATTTTTTTACTGTAAAATATTTAGAGGATAATTTTTTTGAGAATTTTGATGTTGACGCGGTCCCGCGTGATGGCAGTTTGAATTCAAACGTCCTTTACGCGGAAATCCGCGCTGTACCTCTCAAACAACCGCCAACCAACGACGGACGACACCGGCGCGCGACATCCGCACCAGGAACCGTCGGCCGGCCGCTAGATGAACCGGATTGGTCGACACTCACTTTTTCGTATTACGCGTTGACAGTAAGTCATGCTAATCGACCGTCACCCGAACACCGTTTTATTTTTGCTGACCACCGACACGACCGAACCGTAAAACGTTCCCGTGCATCAGTCTTTGTTTTGTTACTGTTCGCGATTTTGTTTAAACTACCAAATATAATCACACATGTCCGTGTGACATCAAACGATTTTGGTCTTTTTTTTTATTTACATCACCCACGAGTGTTACTCCACCTTCAGGACCACCACTCCACGTCCGCAAGGTACGCTTCAATGTATTGAAATCAAAATTTGAACAGTTAGTTTTCTAGTATACAGTGTACGTTATTATCTATAGTCGATACACATAAATACATAACATAAAATAATACGTCATTTTAAATTTATTTAGTCAAACACTTAGGTAAAAAGCAAGTAAAATCCTTCTTGATTTATTTAGTTATGTTTCTTCTTCCAATATTCCATATGTAGTACTATATAAGCATAATCCCTATTATGGACTATTATCCTTAGTACAAATAGTCCATTAACTATAAAACCACTTGTTCGAATTTTGATTTCGTTACATCAAAATTCTCAAAAAAATTATCCGTTAAATAATTTAAAGAAAAAAAGTGGTATTCTCATTTGAAAACAAAGGTTCGTAATTCGTATCGCCACAGCACACTCCTTAAGTGGTACAAAAAATCTCAAGAATATGAAAATATGGTCTTTGAGTATATTTAAAGATTTCAAAAATCATAGGGAATCATTAATTGGATAGTAATTGGTATTTACATATAATTATTTTGAGACATGTAATAAAATAACGTAATATGTAAACCAAGGTATTATGTTATTTCACGAGACGGTCAGCAGTGTCCCATAACTGCACCGTATCACGTAGATAGTAGATACGTCATACTTAGCTATCACTAATCGAAAAATGAATTATTATTATAGTTATTTATTTTTGTTATTCCAACATCTATTACATTTATTTATGTTTACATTTTATAGGTAATTTAGTTTCAACACAATAGTACATACAACAAAATAGAATAGATAATATGTATTTATACAGGTATCGACGAGTTTATACAGGGGCCCCTAGGCTTCAATGGAGTTTAAGAATATTACAAAATATACGGGATGGGTTCCCTGAGTATAATATTGATGGGGGCCTACAGGGAATATCAAGATTGCTCGATGGGCCTATCCACCCATTGAGGGCCTTAATTTTCAACAATGGATCGAACATCTAATTAAAAAATTTCACTCGAAATTTGTAGTGTATAAATGGCAATGGCTGTAAGATGTCCCGATACGTCAATATTTATGATAACAAATTAATTAGAAGTAATTTTTAAAGGAAACTGCAGTTACTAGTTATATATCATAACTCAATAGCCATTAACACTTATGTATGCTTTAAAAATTAAACATATGTTAAAGTCGGTTAACATGATTGTTGTACGATTGTTAGCAATTGTGATCGTATTGTCAATAAGAAATACAACGAAAATACAATTTTTCATATTGTGCTACTTCTTGGGGAAATTGGTTCCTCAATCCCTGATGTAAATCGCTTTGTGTATTATCATTAATACATATTGTTTATATGTGAGATTAATGTGTATTTTACATTTGTATTTGTAATACTTTCAACCGTCTATAAGCTCGGTGTAGGTATTTTAAATAATATTTGAATATAACAATGTCAATAACCCATAATGTATACTTACGGAGTTTTCCCTGTAAAACATCCGCTCTTGAAATATCATGAAATTTTGTATTCGCTATAAAAATATGAAGTATATTACACATGTTAATCAGATTGCAATTATTTTAATATTTTAATCAAATTAAACACAATGACCATTAGCTGTTTGTAGGGGAAAGACGGTTAGTTTGAACACTTGTAAGTTTATGCGCGGCAAGGACTCTGATCCGGTACACCGGCACTATGCGACCTATCGTTGTAATAGTGATAAATGGTATCACGCCTTACTCTATATTTTACACGAATAAGTTATTTTCCATAGATATGGACAGTGAAGATCACAGGTGCGTCGGCTGGACTTTCCGAAACGAGACGACGTGGTGAGAGCTCCGTAATCGATCAGGCGTATGCTTGATTGATCTCATATACAACGAGGGGAATATTTTATTAAATGGTATTTACAATACCTGGGGATGGAGCTGTTCACCGATGGCGCTTGACTTAAATAAGCGGCTACTACTAGGTGGAAACAGACTCGGGAACGGCACAACTCAAGGCAAGTGGCCGGGTGAGGATATGAGGGGGTACAGCGACGTGTCGGTGACGGTGGGTGCGGTGCGCCAGTTGCGTGACGGTTCTCCTTTCTGGGTCCCTTGTCTCGGGCGGCTTAGTTCTGTCGTTCCTAGCCGTTGATAGTTTCATACGTCTCTAACGGCGTCGTAAGATCTCTGGTCTAGCGCTCGGCTGCGCGTTGTTCGGCGGAGATCTCCGTGTGTGTCGAGCGGTTGCGACTGGCGGGCTACGTGCGTGCCACACTCCGTCGAGTGATCACTCGTCGGTAATCGTATGACGGGGTTAGGATCAAACCTAATAGGTTGGGTACTTCGTAGGTTAGGTTAGGTACTTCGTACTTGGTCTGCGATTGCTGTATGAGGTCGGCGACTACTTCTGCGATTCTGGTCGCGAATCGCGGCACCGGATTGGTTGACTCATCTATACTGCTTCGATGCTTCTCGTTCGGAATGTCAGGATGATGGTATGATCACAATCGGGCTGGTGGCTTCGGGTCTTCGGATCTCCAAATCTTCGGTTTCTCGAAGATATGTTGATGTTTGGATATTGATTGAAGACTGATACTGATTACGAACCTATATATGTCCCGTACCGATTAGTAATTGCATTACCGTCGTGGGTCGTTATGTTCACCTTTGGCACGGGATTTGATATTACCTGCTTAGTTTCGGGGCTATGAGTGTACGGAGAGTATCGTTAGAAACGTGGTAGTTTCCCCTACGTTTAGCCCCGGTGTTTAGAGTTGTAGGAGGACTTGGGGATTTGTAATAAAAGCGTAAAGTTGTACTAGAGGGTTTTTCGTAGTATTATATTCTCATTGGTGGACCTGAAAAGGACCGTTTTATGATGTACGATTTTGAACTGTTACAACTTGTTGGCTAAAATCCCAAATGGTCACCCATTTATTTTACAGCCTTTTAGAGAATTGCCATAAATAATTATGTTATCTAAAGACAAATGAATATTCTCTAGCCCAATTAAAATATTTTCCATTACAGCTTGAAGAGTACATGGAGCTAAATCAAGACCATAATAAAGTCTATTCAATTTATACAATAATTAATGAGTGTTTATACTTTATATAGTTCAAATATGACAACATGCAGATGACACTGCAGGTTGTAAATACGCTTCCACTAAACAATTAAATTAAAAAAAAATTTAATCGCGTTATATCATGATTGAATACTTCGTCTCTTCTCGGTAATGGATGTTGTTCGTAAATTATTAATGTATTTTTTTTTTTTGGTTTATGAGAGATGTTCATTCAAATATTTCAAAATGATATATTAGTCCTTCTAATTCTAATCTCACAGGCTCCTCTCCTCTAAATAATGACATGTACCAGCGAGTGCGTTCTCGTTGTTCACATACCCCCATACTCACACAAATAATCATTTACACTACTACATACTCACAAGATATTCTATACTTACAAAACTTTTTTCTACTCCTGGAAATTTCTCGTTGACTGTTTCTATTGTCTCTAATATATTCTCATTTTCATTTACATCACATTATATTGTTACTTATAAGTTATAACTATTGAAAATATTTTCCATTTTAGAAACAATTAAATTAACCAAGGACGATATAAAAATAACATTTTTACTCGATTTTCTGTTGCACTATTAACGGCAATTTAATATTTTTGTTATTCGAGGAATTATTATTTGAATTATTTGACTGACTAATAATATAGATTCCCCATTTACTGATGAAAGATTAACTATTATCTATTTCTTTTTTTAATTTGGTAGGTATTTTTAAAATAATAGTAAAAAATGACTTTTTGTAGTAAAGTGACTGGAGCGCCACTATCACCTTCAAATGACCCTATCTTACCATTTAGAATTAAGTTAACAATAAGTCGTTGCTTACTTTTAAATTTCCAGTGTTACTAATTGTGTAACGCACGTGATAGTATGTAGTGTATTAGTAATAATTTCGTGATCTACTTATTTACTAACCCCCACCTTTACATACAAAAAATCCAACAATGGATTTCTACTTCCCTCAACACCGATGTTCGAAATATTGAAAAATTAATTTTATTTTATTAATTACATTTTTTTTCCAATACTACACGTAATAATATAACTATGTGATAACCGATATTTAGAAATTTACATCGTTAAAATCAAGATATTGCTGGACGTTTTATCATTAATGCATATTTGCTTATATGATAAACATTTATGTGTAATAGTATTTCCTATTAAAATATATTTTATCATCCATAAGCACAGTATACATCACAACATTCATAACTTATAAGTATTTTAATATTGCACTTTAAATAACTAGCAATGTATACTTACAGAAATTAGCCAGAACGGTATCAAACGTTTCACTTGGGTTATTTTGATATTCTATAAAAAATATTAATTGAATTAATTTTTTTAGTACAATTTAATGTTCATATGCCCTTTTTATATGAAAGTAAATACAGATGTGGATACTAGCTAATGTAAGGAAAGTAAAAAAATGAATCTGCACCATAAGTAGGGAACGACAAATTAATTATATGTACATAAATAGTATGGGGAAACTTTGATACAGCCAGCACTTAGGTACCAACTAGACAGTAGTTGTTTTTTGGCCTTCTGTGAAATTATGTGGTATGTGATCAAGCTGTATGGATCAAACATCACCAGATTATATTTGTTGGCTGTTTCTAATCAGTAAAATATTGAGTTTTATCAAAAAGTTATTCAAAAAAAATGTGTGCGTTTTAATTATTCAAAAAAGTGAACAAACCTTTTGACCCAACCATGAGGTTTTCATCAAACATTTGCCCTATAAAAGTTTAGATTATACATAAGTAATGACAGCGAATATTTACCTTTATATATATTTTTTTTTTGCACTATGTACTTATATAAACTCTTGCTAAACGATTGGGCCAATGATGATGACATTTTTGTGTGTGTTTCAGTGGGTATGTATATGGTTCAAATAAAATAATTGGCCCCTTTAGGTGCAACGCGGAGTGTTTTTCAAACAGAGATTTTGATGTTTAAGGTGAAAATGTTTTTTTACAAACAGTTATTTTCACCTAACCTAACCGAGATAATACATGAGGGAACAACCTATTATAGTAAAGTGGTAAAAGTGAAACGCTCAATAGATTCCGCATATTCCTTTTCATTCAAACGTTTCCACACAAAACCAATTTAAGACGTTGCCGATTGTATTTTAAGTATTTTTTAGACATAAAAATAGTCGATATTAATTTATGTATGTCATGTTATCACATCATTTTAGTTTTACACAAAATACTAGCTGATCTGAATAGTCTGCAGTGTAAAAATTAATTTTAATCTGGACTCATCGGTTACAAGTTCGATACCTACCGTACTCACGTATATAAATTGTGATAACACTATTGTGTTTACTGTTTTACTGTTGACTTATAAATTGTGTGTGAGTTTATAATTTAAAATTAATAATTCCAAAATTCGTATGATTGTGTCCGAAAGAAATACGGAACTAGCAGTAGTTAATGTAGCACTTTATGTTGCACTTTATGTTCATTTTTTAATATTAAACATTTTTGAAAATTTCAAATCCAATTGTAATTTGTTTCAAAAATCATCTTTCTATGTTTATTGAGTGTCATTTAAGGACAATGGGAAGTCCAAAGGCATGTTTTCACTGTTGATTTTCGTTACCAGAACGGCATCTTAAGTAATATAATATGTTCAATCAACATTTATTATAACTATACTAAGAACTAGAGATTTCAGAAATTTATCTTTCATAATAACCAACTCTCAAAACAATCAACTTACTTTTATAACGATTAGAATTATACAGAAGATAATTGATCACATTGGGAGAAACTCAATGTATTTATATGATAAATGTCTATACAGTCAGCCGTCAGGTAAATTCAAATTAGGTAGGTACTTACTAAAGCATTCCACTGCACGATTAAACTCTAAATTATTTAATATTTAGTAAAACATGTGTTAGCTATTTTACAAACAATATGATTGCAAGGTTAAGTTGACTTCTAACAGAATGTCACTATTGCTGACAAACATACAATCTGTATTTGTAGTTTTGTACAACATATAACCGTATGTGTCTCAAGCTCAACATAACAATTTTTTTTTATTGTTTAAATAGTTACTAGCTAACCTAATATTACTCGCCTTAAAACTAAACATCAATATTGGCCTTTGTATAAGGATAATATTCTTACCTTTATGTTCATGAATATATAAATATAAAGAACTCAAAACATTTTCTATTATAAATAATATCTATAATTGTTAAATTGTGAGATAAGACTTTGGCATACTTTTAATAATTTATATGATATTTCTATTCTCAAGTAATTATTAAAATACTTTGTAATCCATTGATGTAATAATAAAATCAATAAAATAATGAAACAAATTGAATAGATATTTTTGTCTAATGATCATAACTCACAGTAAGTAAAAACTGACAATGTAGGTAAACCTTAATCTGGGTAAAGAAATTAATTGGCATAATATTGGTCATGATTTTAAATTCTGAAGATTTTTCTGTTAGAAATACAATCTGATAAGAAATCTCATTCTATTTAATAATATGCATTAATTACTATTTCATTAAAATAACAGGCACTAATTCTATACGTTGAATACATTTAAATTGTAATTATGTGCAGTATACCTAAGATTCTCCAAAAATATTTTAATATTATGTGATTTGTCATTATATGTAATTAAAATATAAAATATACTCACGATGTTGTCTTGTTAACGTTGCATCTAAATTTCCAATTACATAGAACATGAGACATAAAGACAACAAATTAATATGTTTAACCATATTGTTAGGTACCATCAAAAAATTAATAAAAATGATTTCGTGTAGAAATATGAAGTAAGAATGATATTAAGAATTGTTCAACGACGGTACCTATTATTTTATAAGTTTATTCTAAAATACTAAACAAAATATGTATCTAGTGCAACTGGGTAAACCATTTGGGAAAATAGTACCTAGTCGAACGAAATGTGTAAATAACGTTTTATTGCCCACATGAAACCAAAAAGTTTATTATCGCATTTTTTCTTTTACATCTTCATTACTAACTAATATTTCGTATTATAATTAGATATTTATTATTTGATTTTAAAAAAATATGGTGTATTTTTCTACAGAAATACAGAGATAGAGTGAAAATTATAGGTCTGAACTCATAGATCAAAATTACATTATAATAATTATATATTGAATTTTTCAGAAAATTGTACCGAGTCCGCCTAGTATAAAACAACACATTTAAATGATTTTTCACTCTTATGAGTTATGAGTAAACAATAGTTACTATTGCAAGGTGTATGTAATAGAAAAAGTTCTTATCAATTTTATTAATTGCAATATCAACTTCAGCAACAACTTTCCAGCTCAATACTTAAAGATAAATAAAAGCTGATATACATCATTAAGATGAAAATAACAATGGATCATTGAGCACACATGACCGTATCACATTATCCAACAGACATAAAAATAAAAATGTACGAATAATTGTTGGTATATGGTCAAATATTCTTTTTTATAACCATATATGGTTCAAATCTTGACAAAATTCATTAAAATATCAACAATTTTCAAACATTTTGTTGTAACAAATTTGTAATTTTTGAAGTTATAATTATTAAAAATTTAAAACAAGGTTTCTAATAAGTAGGTCATAAAACATGCCAAACAGCTAGGTACATTATTGGTACTATTTTTTTGTTTGTATCACCTCAGTAAATATTTAGCATGCAAATTAAATAAAACGCAGTGGATCTGAGTATTTTAAACAGATGTGTTAGCGCCTTAGCGGCTAATATTCAAATGAATATTATTACGGGTCAGGATTTTAAATAACGGACACTAGGCGAGTGTAGACGGTATTAAAGAGACTTTATTAATAATATCACAATTCTCAGTACACCCAAACACGACAGACACTGTGTCGGTGATGGTGTATAATATATATTTACGGTAATATAACACAAGGTTTACTTTACACAACGGTATTACTAACGGGGTCACTGGTCGCGGTTGTACGGAGGTGCGCGGCGGACTTACGGAGTCGCCGGACCTTTACAAGACTAGGAACTGACTCAATACATCTTTTGTTACGTCGCCGCTGTGGCGCGCCGAGCCTACGACCACTGGCCTAGGGCTCAGTGTGACCACCGTTATACAATTAATAATTAAATGATAGATAAAGGAATAACATATTGGCGCTAACAGATGTATATCGTTTTTATACGGGGAGTGGGGAAAAAATACAATAGGTTGAATAATTTTTTGCCAAAAAAATAAATTAAAAATGTCATTGCTTGTATAACATAATGTAATAATATACTTAAAAAGTTTCGAGTACGCACCCTCGAATATTTATGAACAACAAGTTTTTGATAATATTAATAATTTAAATTTGATATGACGGAAGAATTGTAATTATTTTAAAATAATATATTTTATATTAGACACCTATTATAGCAGTTGCAAAATGTTCCAAAAGTTGCAATACATAGAAATATCTAAACTATCTTTTTGCTAAACAACATGTGGTTTTCATACAAAAAGAAATAATTTACAATCCATTATGCAGGACTTGAAACCGAAAACATATTTTATCTTTTTTTTTCCGTTTATGATTTTGATTTCAGATATGGGTATTCATCTTTTCCGTTATCGTTTTTGGTTTCAAATATAAATATGAATTTTATGCAAACTATGCGATTCGGTTAGGGTTGCCATGAAAGACTCAGTCCAAAAAACGCGGGCTTCTTTTCTGTGTTAAGTATATCTAATATTTTAAGCCCACTCGACATTTTGAAAAAAAAACCCCGGGATGCCTTTCTGCCTAAAATAGAAATTCATTTTATTTTTATTCCTGTACATTTATTTTTAACTTGTTGTTATTATTAAAATGTGTATGAACACCATCAATAAATATAGATCTAAACTCGCATCCGGCTTTACGTCCACTTCCAATGACTGGAGGTATGATTCATAAATTAACGATTAAATAAAAAGTTAACAACTATCAATAAAAGTACAAAACAAAAAGCTTAATATCGCCACTGACTTCACTGAAAATATTAACAATTCACAATTTATTATTGGTTAAAGGTTGGAATGTCAATATTTAATATATTATCATATAGGTTTTGGTAGGGTCCTTGTAGAGATAAAGCGAAAAGAGAAATATAATAAAACCACAGTTGATTAGAATACACTAGATTGCTAACTGCGATACAGCTCGTCCTGTGTAAGTGATTGAAGCTACGATTAAATAGTTTGTGTTTGTAAAAATTATCTATGTTCATTATCAAAAATGTTATCATGTTATCAACATTAAATAGGTGTGATGAGACCATAGACTTATAGAAATAGACGGAACATTAGGTATGACCACGCGCGCAATTGTCCTCGTGATCGGGCACTATTAAAGCTAATTGGCTGTCCTCGGAGCAGAGGACATTTCGCTCACTCTTATGATAAAACTCATGTTATCTCTCTTAATCCGTTTGGCACGACCACAACTCCCAGTCCTCGGGCCTAATGTTCCGTCTATTTCTTTAAGTCTATATATGAGACCCCAATGGCCTCTTTTTAATCGGTGGATGGTGGCTTCACGTCACGAACTAAGATATACCTAGTATATCTTAGTTCGTGATTCAAGTATTATTATAGTTAGCAATCTGGTTTAATAAAATAATACATCTGTTAATAAAACAGTGCATCTAATACATGGAAAAAATACCTTTTTTTTTTTTGATGGGTTTTTTCAAAAAAACCCCGATGAAACCGCCCATTATTACTTTTACAATTAAACTAAAAAAAATTAATTATTCATTTTGATTTCAAGCACTCTTTTAATGTAAACATCGTAACATGTCTATTATATCAATATTGTTGTCAGATTCATTTTATTTATTGGTTTTGACAGGGCCGGATTAAGGTTTTTGTCGCCCATAGGCTGAAAGAAATTTACATAGGTATTGATATTTTACTAATATCTCAATGTAGTTTTTGAGTCACACCAAAAAAAATGTTCCGCCCTAGGCTTTAGCCTACACAGCCTAAGCGGTAATACGGCCCTGGGTTTTGATTATTTTGACAACCTATCACAGGTGCTTTTTTTTTTTTT